CAGGCTCCATTACAGTCTCCGTGAGACACACCAAATGTAGGGACCATTACCCTTGTGCCTCAGAGGATGACACAGCTGTGCCTTAAGCGGTGAAGGAGGTTTTTGTTCCAGTCTGTAACACTGTGGGCTCAGTGCCGTAAGCATAATGACAGTAGTACATTGCAGCATCTTCAGCCTGGACGCTGCTGATGGTCAGAGAGTAATCTGTCCCCGAACCACTGCCACTGAACCGAGCAGGGATCCCAGAGGCCAGGTTGGATGTACCATAAATCAGGAGCTTTGGACTGGCTCCTGGCTTCTGTTGGTACCAGTGTAACCAACTAGTGCTTACACTTGAGCTGGCCTTGCAGTTCATGGTGACTCTCTCTCCTGGAGAGAATTCCATGGAAGATGGAGACTGGGTCAACACAATTTGTCCACTGGATCCTGTGATCACATACATAGGAGATGGATATTGGAGATAGAGATATTAGTAGAAACGGACATATAAGAGTATCTTCATACTGTCCAGCTATCAAGTTCAAATTTTAAAAATCAAGCCTTGAATCTAAATTTGATGAGAAAATAAATCATAAATTCAAAGATTTTTCTCTTTCTTACCTGTAACACTGAGCAGCAAGAGAGTGAAAATTAGAAAATCCATTATGTTGACCGAACCCCGTGACAGGCTAAACACATGTCTTCTCATAATCAAAGTCCTTAAATGCAATTCTGAGTTTTCTGTGGTCTCTGGGGAAATATATGCAAACGAGCAGGATGTTGGCTGACTTCCTGGCTTATAAATCTATGTGATCACTGTGCTTACTTTTATTAGTTAAGTCAGTGTAGGAGAGAAAAGGTTCTTAGTGGCTTAGCTACGTGGAGCATATATCTGCTGTACGCATCATCTGGAGTCCTGGTGTGGTGCTGTAGATAAGCACTAGACTGATAATTTCAAGGTTTGTCATTCAAACCCACCACCCATTCTTCAGAAACCCTATGTATACAGGGTCACTGAGTCTGAACTAACTCAATAACACTTAACAACTACAGGCATCATCTGTGTTCCTGACATACAGGTTTAATTTGACCTTGTCAACAAAGAAACTAAAATTGCTCTACAATAAGAATATGCTAAGGGATGACTGTATACAAATGACAATAAGAAACCCCCAAAATTCAGGAGATCTACCTCCAGTTCTCTGAGACCTGTCCTCCACTAAACTCACCTCAAGCACGATCTGACCCAAAAATGCATTGGGAAAACTATTGCGCGATCTTGGATCCTAGATATTCTCAAGGAAGAGGTGACAAAAAATATGTGCACTTGGAATATCCAGAGAAAGGAAACCACAGACAAAGCTGGACACAATAAACATTTCCATCTGAAACTGGAGGACGCATAACTCCTGTTTGTTGTTGTTGCTAAGTGCTGGTGAGTTGAATCTGTCTCATAGCAACCTTGTACAGGATTTCTGAGGAACAACTGGAGTGTTTGAAAGT